TCATTTGATGACAAAGGGGGAGAAATCTGATTTAGTCTTCAAGCGGGTCTATATAAAGGGCGTTTGTTTTAAGTTACAACTCTCGTTCTTCTGAAACTTTTATTTGGATCGAGTTGTAATCTTAAACCCGATGGTGCTCTGATACTTTTGGATGGTGCTCTGATACTTTTGATGCACTATGCTCCGATACTTTTGATGCTTTCGGCATGCTTATTCCTCGTTAATGACATTGCACGCATGCTGAACTTCATCAGGCACCATATTTCATCATGCATTTCAAATTCTTCATATTATATATCAAATGCGTGTATGAATTACAAGATATAGGGGGAGATCTCCATGATTCAACTCTTCAAATGTGCATTGCCTCAAAAGCAAATTCCTCACTATGCACATCTTCAGGGGGAGTTCTTCTATATCTTGCAATCAAATTCCTCAATATCAGTATTTACACTTCATATATTTATCCCCGTTGAAAACTTAACCTATATTGTCATCAATCACCAAAAAGGGGGAGATTGTAAGTGCATCTAGTGCCCCTTAGTGATTTTGGTGCATTGAAGACTTATAGGTTAAGAGACTGATGCGTTTGTGAGTGTACACAGGTCTATAAGTCTATGAGGAGTTTGATATTTACAGAGAAAGTCGACCCCTAAAAATGAAGTTCTTCGACTGAAGACCTTGATATTCTGAAGACTTTCTGAAGACTTTGAAAGTGAAGAAATTGGTGTGACCTTGAAGACTTGATATTCATTTGTGAAACTTGAAGCGTGAAGACTTTTGTTTTCGTAGTTTCATTTTCTCTTTCTTGAGTCATAGAAAACACCGTACTGTTAAAGGGGGTCGAGGAAATACTAAGGAAAAATTTCCATGTGATGCTCAACTCAAAATCCTACACCTACCAATCCCTTCGAGTGAAGCCATTGGAAATCTCATACAGTTCAGTCAATCTCTTCAGTGACAGAGACGCAGTTCTTCTGGTCACTGAGGACTTTGCTCTGACTGAGGAGTTAGGAATTCGCCAGTGCGAATTGCCTACACAGTGAGGAACATGATAGCCCTGAGGAATTTGAAAGTCAAATTTCCGACCGTTGCTGTGCTGCGTGCCGGCCGTCCCAAAATATCTTATCCACCTAACGGTCATATCATTGAAGGGCATTTATGTCTTATCATGTCGGGCTGCTCCCTAGGCTATAAATAGCTGCCCCCTACAACCACTAGTTGGTTGGCTACTCCGAGAGAACTTGACACTTGTCATTTGAGAGCAACCCATCCTCCGAGGACTTTGAGCGAAAATCATCAAGTGAGGAAAACCCAAAACCAAACCCCTACAAACCCAAAGTGATTGAGCATCACTGAAGAAATTGATCCTGCGTGGATCCGACGCTTGTTACCTTTGAAGACTGTGCTTCTTCCAGACGGTTAGGCGTCACGGTCTAGAGCATCCAAGAGGAATTGTGGATCGCCGAGTGACCAAGTCTGTGAAGGTTTGGAAGTCGCCTGAAGACTTACCACGAGTGATTGGACGAGGTCTGCGTGGCCTTAGTTCAAGGAGAATATGGTGAGGACTAGGTGTCCTGAGCTGCGGCTCAGCGACTGGGTGTCCGGGACTGCGTGTCCTCGAGTTTAAATACTCAGCCGCTCCAACCTGACGTACAACTGAGACAGTAGTTGGAACTGGTCTACCAAATCATTGTCATCACCAACTAACTGGTTCTATTTCCTCAACCCTTTCATTTCCTCATTACTGTGTTGAATGTTTGTTCATATCTGTGTTTGAAGACTTTGACTGAAGACTTTCTCAATTTCCTCAGTTCAATTTCTTCAGTCTGTTTGTCTTTATCTTGTGTTATCCTGTGATTACACTTTTTGTACTCTGTGCTAGTCTTCATTTCATCATGATGACCATGCTTGTATTCTGTTCCGCTTACTTCTGAGTACTTATTCCGCTGCTAGTAGTTCTTCAGTAAGGAATTTCCTCACCGGCAAATTCCTCAGTGAAGAATTCATAAAAATCGCCTATTCACCCCCCTCTAGTCGATATAACGCACTTTCATCAATTTGTCCTCCATGGCTGTGGCTGTTCTATCCCCATGCTTGAGATATGGTATGAGATGTTTCCGACGGCGGCCATTGGCCTTCATATGAAAGTATCTGGAGTTGGCATCCCCTTCCCTAAGATCCCGGATCCTGGCTCTCTGCCGCAGCCAGACCTGCTCGAGCGACACAAACGCCAGGCACTTTCCCTTCAGAAAGGCACGCATCTTCTTTTCCTCGCTGGAGAGAGGGCGTCTTTCTTGCGCATTATCAAGGCGTAAAATCACCTCGCTGGCCACCAGAAACTGAAGCCTAAGATGGCTCATGCTCCTCTGGCCCCAACTGCGTAGGGCTTTAGCAGTGCGATGAAGCTTAATGTTGAATATTTTCATGGGGTCACTCCCCGCAACCTCTTGAGTCCAAGCGTCCTTCACCACATCCATAAAGCCCGACAGCTTGCACCAATAATTCTCAAAGCGAAACCGGAAAGCCCTCGGTCTTGTGGACGAACAAGTGAGAAGCAGAGGAGTGTGATCTGAGATATTGGAGCTAAGCGGAAGCAAATCACTGATGGGGTACAGGTCCTCCCATGCATTGTTGAAGAGCACACGATCCAGTCTTGCCAAGATAGCGTGCTCCTGTTGATTGCACCATGAGAAGTGACGCCCAATCAAGGGCATGTCGTGGAGCCCCAACCTGTTGATCGTGTGCCGGAACTTGTTCATCAGCCTCCTGTTCCCTCTCCCAGAGCTGCGCTCATCTGGATTGCACACAATGTTAAAATCGCCATTCAGGATCCACGGCAGGCTCACATGGTCTCCAAACTGCACAATTGCCTCGACGAATCTTGCTTTGTCTGTGTCTTCTTGCGGCCCATACACTGAAGAAACCATCCACTCTTTGCCCTCTGCCAGAGAAAGAACTTGTGCCGATATCATGAACTCATCTTTCTGGACGTTAGTCACCCGCAGCATATCAGACTTCCAAGCCAACAAGATGCCACCTCGTGTTCCTTCAACCGGCAGGAAATCAAAACTATCGAAGGCAGACCCCAGCGTTTGACGAACCACAACGTCATTCACCAGTGCCAACTTGGACTCTTGAAAGCAAACTAGGGATACATTGAGAGATTGCACGAAAAGCCTAACGGCGCTCCTCCGAGCAGGGTTATTGAGCCCCCTTACATTCCATACCAGTACGTCTAAAGACATAGTCATGATGATTAATGCAAAACCACCGAGAATACAATGGTGCTTTAAGCGTCACAAGGCTCGACCATCTCCGGCAGGGAGAAGGCATCAAAGCCCGCCTGTGGAGGCTCGTCGAAGTCGATCTCCCCGGGAACGAAGATGTGGTGTGGCGCAAGCGGCTTGTCGAACAGCTTAAGGTACTCGTCCAGGGCTTTAGAGGAGACCTGTTCTTCAGCCTGGATCACCCCCATCCTCTTCAAAAGCACCGATTGCGCCCGCTGGACTGGGCCTGTGTTGTGGCCGGATGCATTTTTGCACAACCTTGCGCTCCTCCTAGGCGTGAAATTGGGCGGGACGGCCTTCCTGCTCCTCACGGGGGCCGACGCCGCCGGCCTGGGACCGAGGATGGACGGTGCCGGGGAAGCAACCAGTCCGAGCCTCAGAGTCGCCGAAGCCGTCAAAGGCCCTGCATTGTACCTGCTCCATCCCCGGTCAATGCCAGCGGCAGCAGCATGTGCTGGGGCAGAGGAACGGCGAAGGGCGTCTGAATTGGGCTAGCGCTGTTGCTACGAGCCGGCGATACCCGCATGGATAATCCCACCTCCTGGAGCAGTTTGGTGCTATCCTCTTGATTAGCTTGAGGGTGCCCCCGGCTTCCCTGGTCCTCTACCTCGTCCACCCCGGCCTGGCCAAATGAATCATCCCCATCTCCTCCAAAATGCCCTTCCCCGCCAGCCTCTGTGCCACCGGGCTGAAGGACAACCTTCGATGCGGCGGCGTGCCCCAGAGCGCGCCGTTCCGAGTGGGTGGTGTACTTCCAAACGCCCTGGATCCAACCGCAGTGGGAGCCTCGGAGTAGAGCAGCATAGGCGTGTCCCCCAGGGCCCCCGAGCCAACGGCAGTTGATGCTAGCGAACCACAGGTGTGCTCCTCTGGCTGGGGCGACCCGACGATGGGACTCCTAGCCGCATTCCCAGCCGGCAAGCCGGCATGCCCACGGGTTGCTGCCGCCGGTGAGGACGACGAGCCTGACCTCCTAGAGACCACCATCGGCGTTGAACGCGCCGCCTGAACCGAAGCTTCCAGTGGATGCGCAGGCCCCAGAGCAAGAAAACGCGCGAGGACCGCCATGCCACTCGCCGGCGGCAGGACACCCATGACCCTGCGGCCACCACCCCAATCACCTGCCATGCCATAAGGAATGGACTGAAACTTGAATCCAAATGATAAGTGCCACACGTGTGACACAAAGCACTCCGTCCCTGTTTGCCATTCAAAAACAAAGTTATCATACTCACTTTACTAAACTTGTCATAAAAAATGTTTGAAGTTGTCATATGTTCGTAGCACACGTGTAGTTTTTATCAAGTTACCAGGGTCCAATTCTGCGCCGCCGTGCGCATGTCAATTTTTTTTTTTTTGAGCTAATGCGCCCGTCATCTGGACACCAGAGTCAACACGTCAATGCAACACCGTAATTTTCTATGCTGCCGTACGTGAGGCAGCCAGTAACCAAGTAAGAAATGAAGACCATTAGTCCATCAGTTTCTACTTGAAAAAAAAGCTTAATCAAACTGCTGCCGCAGCAGCAGCGACACGCCAAAACCTTGCGTCAAATCCTTGAGCCGACCGAACACTATAAATTACCGCGAAAACGTTAGTGGCAGCATTGCATCCACAGCTCATTCCTGATCAAAGTTTAATCATCTTGTAGCAAGCACGTACAGTACAACTGATTACACACTCTGGTCTCTACACTCAACTCACCTCATCATGCTCAGCCTTTACCCGAGGCTCTCGGCGAGCTCCCGCTACAGCGACGCCGACGCCGACGCCGACGGCAACGACGACGTCGCCAGGTACCGCGCCTTCTACGGCATCGCCGTCGCCTGCGTGGCCATCCTCCTCTTCTGCGTGCTCACCGCCACCGTCGGTCCCTGGAAGGCCGGCGCCTTCGCGGCCGCGGTGGCGTCGCTGCTGGTCGTCCTCGGCTGCTTCGCGCCCAGGACATCATGGGTTCGCCGCCGGACGGGGAGGCCAGTGAGTCCCGTGCTTGCTCTCACGGCTACGTCAGGCGGGAGGCCGCGAGCACCTGGCCGGTGCGCGCGCGCGCACGTGGTGGACGCGCCGCCTGCGTTCGCGTACGTGTGCCCGCTGGAGGCAGGCGACAGCGATGGCGAGCTGACGGCCCCAAGCTGCGTGATGTGCCCGGTCTGCCTGGAGGACATCCACGGCGGCGAGATGGTGCGGCAGCTGCCGGCGTGCAGACACCTCTTCCACGTGGAGTGCATAGACATGTGGCTGGACTCGCACAGGACGTGCCCAATGTGCCGGTGTGTGATCTCGCCGCCGCCACCGCCGATGACAGCGAAAGCCTCGGAGCTGGAAGAGGCGCCTCAGTCGTCGGATGAGGTGTTGCCACCGGTGTAGTTATTTTTTTGCTCTAACACATGCACGTACAAGTTGAGCTGAGTGTATATGTAATTTAGCTATATGTAAGTTGCCCGAAAATTGAATTTGAGTCAGCCGATTTTTCTGCCAGTTGATTGCTGCTCTAAGATTTGTGCTATTTTTATTCCTTTTACTTTGAGAATCTGCTATCTTTTTTTTTCATGTTGTGTGGTGACCTGTTTTAGGAAAACCCTATTTGCCGCTCTCTGCGCAAAGAGTCGGGGTTCCGCACAGGGCTTTCGATCGAGCACTCGCTGGTGGGCCGGCTGGGCCGGCATGTTAAGCGTTCCAACTATACCGGTTTTGGGGACATGTTTCTGGCCGTTTCTTTTTTAGTTTTGGGAACCTGCTAGAAGGTTCCTGAACCAGCTTATTCTTTTTATATATTTTGTTTGTTATTTTTCTTTCCTTTTTCGTTTTTTCTCATTCTTTTTCTGTTATTTTTTCTATCTTCTTGCTCTTTTCTTTACGATTCTTTTTCTATATTCAACGGCTGTTTCAGAATTAAAAATTATTTTTTTTCAGATTTTGTTTGTTTTTTCAGAAAATGTTCCTATTTTCAAGTTTTTTTTTCAGAAATTTCATAAAAGTCTACACTTCAAAAATTCTTTGCTTATTTTCAAAAAATGTTCAAAATTTCAAAAAGTGTTCATCTTTTTAAGTTTTGTTCAAAACTAAAAAATGTTTGGATTAACAAATATGTTACCATTTTCAAAATTTGTTGAAAATTCAAACATATTGATGATTTAAAATTTGTTCACAAATACAAAAAGTGTTCGAGTTTTAAATTTTGTTCATGTATTAGAAAATGCTCAGGATTTTTTTAAAAAAAATCCCATTTACGAAAAGTGTTCCAAAAAATTAAAAAATTTCCCGTTTCAAATTTCTTCGCAATTTAGAAATGTTTCACGTTTTTATTTCTGCTCACGTATTCAAAAAAAATTGTAGCTTCAGAAAATGTTTCTGTTTTATAAATTTGTTCAGAAATTCAATAAATGTTCATTTTTCAAAATTTGTTCACAAATTAAGATGTGTTTGGGAATTTCAGAAAAAATTCCAGTTCCGAAATTTGTTGAGAAACTCAGAAAATGTTTCTGTGTTTTTATTTTTGGTCACAATTCAAAAGATGTCCGTGATATTTTAAAAATGTTTGCCTTTCAAAACAGGTTCATAAGTTCAAAAAAATAATCCTGTTTTCAATTTTTTTCACAAGTTCAAAAAAAGTTTCCATTTGCAAGTTTTTGTTCACAAATAGAAAAAATCTTTGGGATTTTCAAATTGTACTCAGGTTCAAAATTTTGTTCTTCATTTCAAAAGTTGTACCTGTTGTCAAAATTTGTTTTCCAATTCTAAAATATCAGCGTTTTCCAAAAATGTTCTGTAATTTGAAAATTTGTTCGCCTTATACAGAAAATGTTTCCATTTTTAATTTTTGTTCACGTGTACAAATAATCACAAGGTTTTTGAAATTATTCTCATATTCAAAAATTTGCTCTGCATTTCAAAAGTTGTACCATTTTCAAATTTTGTTCACCATTTAAAAAGATGTTTGTGTTTTCAAAGTATATTCTGGAATTTGGAAATTTATTCTTTTTATACAAAAAAACTTCGAAAATTGCAGAACTGTTTGTGTTATAGAAAAGTGTTCGGATTTTCAAAAGATGTACAAATTTTCACGTTTTTTTTACAAATTAAACAATGTTCAGGAATTTAAAATGCATTTGCAGTTTCAAAAGATGTTCAGAAATTTCAAATTTGGTTCGTGTTTGTCAAAAAGTATTCATATTTTCAAAAAAAATGTTAACAGTTTTTAAGTAATGCTCAATTTACGCCGCGGTCTTTAGTTCATTTGACTTCGCGCCATATATATGTCACAAAGTCCTGGTAGGTGTGGTAGAATGCGTCAAATAGGTTTTTTTAGGTGAAAATGCATCAAATAGGTGCTCCCCCTATTTTAGGCTGTGACTAATCTCTATGTTGGATGGCTCAATACCTTAATGGGCTAAGGCCCATTGATTGGGCAACCAAGATAGCCCTATCTAGCCCATCTGAAAACCCAGCTATCCTGGAGCAACTAGCTGAGAAGTACTCGTTGCGGGGCTTCGGCAAGGGTCACTTTTGATAGCCACCGCCACATATCACGTGCTAAGCGCTCCCCCCCCCCGGAATTTTGTTTATTTATTTTTTCTATACGCGTTTTTTGGGTTAAGATGATTTTTTTCCTTTTTCTGGCTTTTTGGTTGGTTTTCCCTAGGTTCATGGACAAAAAACATTTTTTGTGTGAAAAAACTTGTTTTTTTCGCTGAGGCATGGATTTAGTTCTCGTGGAGGCACAAATTTACTCCTGCGAGAGGCACAGCTGTGCCTCTCAGAAATGGGAACAAAGTGTTCTATTTTTTTTTTCTTCCGCAGGAGGCATAGATGTGCCTCTAGAAAAAAACTCTTTTTATTTTGCTTCCGTGAGGCACATATTTGCTTCCGTGAGTTGTGCCTCTCGGAAAAGTGAAAAAAACGCGTTGTTTTGAGAGGCACATATTTACTTCTCGTGGGGGCACAGTTGTGCCTCTCGGAAAAGTAAAATGACACGTTTTCTATTTTTTTTCGCGAGAGACGGGAATTTACTTCTCGTGGACGTACAGATTTGCTTCCGCGCTCAAAAAGGAAAAATAAACATGTTTTCTTTTTCTTTTTTTGTGAGAGACACATATTTGCTTCTTATGGAGGCACTGATTTGCTTTTGCGAGAGGCACCACTTTGGAAAAGGAAAAAAAACATGCTTCTGGTTCGGGATTTTTTTTGTCTGATTATTTTCATGAGAAAACAAGTTTATTGAAACCTATCAACATGGGATTTAGTTTCAAATATCTCGACACAAGGAGTCCAAAGATGAAAACAATTTGGGATTTAGACACACGGTTTAAAAGATAAAATATTTTAAGTTACCAAATCTACGTAAAAAGAAAAACTCCTCGGTTACAACATGTGGCGCACATGCAGGAGTGACATTTCAAAGAGAATTCCTTAATTAGTAGTGATTTCGCAACCATTCCCTCTCTCCTTTGCCTTTACTATTTTCAGTATTTTTTCCTATGGTTTTTTTGAATGTTCGGCGAGTGTAAATGTATTCATGCAAGTGCTATACAATAAGCGAAATCACTAATTGAAGAGTACTCATTGAAAAAATCACTCCCACCTAGTGGCGGACCCAGGAATGAGCCAGGCCCCAGGCGAACTAGGCCAAGGCCCAGGCAGGCTTCGTTGGCTGTAGCATTTACCGTAGCTACATTGCTACAGTATACGAAGGAGATGGGCCTCACGCCCCAGGCCGCCGCCCCTTCTGCATGGGGCCTGAATCCGCCCATGCTCCCACCATCCCAGGTTGCGACAAGTGGCGCGCTGCATGTCCGTCACTTGTCGCAACCTGAGAGTTTTTCCTTTTTCGTAGATCCGTTTATTAAAAACGTTTCATCTCTTAAACCGTGTGTCCAAATCTCGAACCGTTTTCACCATTGGATTCCTCGCGTCGAGACGAACTCTTTTTTCACGAAAAAACCGGACAAAAAAAATCGAAATGGGAGTACGAGTTTTTTTCCTTTCAGAAAGAGACACGTCCGTGCCTCTCGCGAAATCATAACCTTGGCTCGCGGAAGCAAAACCGTGCCTCTCGCGGAAGAAAAAAAAGAGAAAAAGTGCTTTTTTATTTTCGAGAGGCACGGCCGTGCCTCTCACGGAAGGAAAAAAACAGAAAACACATTATTTTTTCCATTTCCGAGAAAGGCACGGTCGTGCCTCTCACAGAAGTAAAACCGTGCCTCTTGCGAAAGAAAAAAACAGAAAATGCGTTTTTTCATCATTTTCAAGAGGAACGGCCGTGACTCTTGCAAAAGCACAACCATGCCTCTCGTGGAAGCAAAACCGTGACTCTTGCGAAAAAAAATGAAAACACATTTTTTTCCTTCTCCGAGAGGCACAACCGTGACTGCCATGAAAGCAAAACCGTGCCTCTCGCGGAAACAAAACCGTGACTCTCCCGAAAGAAAAAAAAACGCATTCTTTTGCGCAAATTTTTTTGGGTCCAAATGTTAAGGAAGACCGGTGAAAAACCGAAACGTCGAAAAAACCCCAAAAAACCCGTTTAAAAAGCCGAGAACGCGTGCGGAAAAATAAAAAAAGACCAAATCAGGAGAGAGCGCCCAGAGCAGGACACGTGGCGGGCGGCTGAGAGTGCGCCAAGTGGCACTGATCGTTGTGAGGCTCCTTGAGGCTCCTGAAGGAGCGCTCGTTAACTAGTTGCTCCCAAAGCTGGCCGGGCCAAATTAAAGAAAATAACATGTGGGTTGTTGTTTGAAGGGCCACGGCCCATTGAGCCTTGCTGTAGTTCCGCTTGAAACAATAAGTGTGTAACTACATTAGAGTGTGAAAATTGTACTCTCTTAAAGAAATGTAAGACTTTTTAGATCACTTTTTATATATTATAAAAAGTGCAATTTTAGTGCAACTTTTATATTTTATATTTATATTTTCTTTCTTCTTAAAGGGTAATGCCAATGTCACTATTTCATTCTTACTTAGAAAATAACATTATTTTGATTTTATTTCAGATTTCATTTTTTTTGTTCTTCATGAGTAACACCAACTCCACTAATTCATTTTCTTCTAACAAAACTTCCTTCTCATAAAGATCCACTATTCTATGATTGTTCTGGCATGTTATAAAAAAGCGCCATTTCTTTGTAAATTGTGTGCAGATCTTGTCATAATGTTTAGTTTTTTATTCTGTTTCTTCTTAAAGGGTAATACTCTTGCCGGTAATTCATTCTTTGTTAGATAATTTTATTATTTTGATTTTGTTTTAGTTTTTATTCATGTTCCTTCTTCGTAATGGGTAATACCAACCCCACTAACTAATTCATTCTTAGGGCACTTCTAATTGCAATTTTTTCGTTATTATATGCTTATTCTTGGATATTAGAAAACAA